ACCAACACCTGGCGACAGGTCTTAAACTTCTGATTCTCCTACCTGTGTCTCTCTAACAATTGGGACGACAGGCCTGTGCCACCAGGCCAGTCACGTGGAGTTACTAAATAGATGAGACTAATTTTCGTTTGAGGCTAGCATGTGTGTTTCATTCTTCTCGATTGCAACGGCCTCCATTGGCATTCCTCCTCATGACTGTGGGCACATTTCCACTTTTTCTTCTTTAATGCATTTACCTCAAGTAGACGCTTTACTACCACAGATGGAAAATCCGTGTCACTAGCTGTAAACAGCAGTTTCATGTCAGTGCACATTAGAAGATACAAATTAGCAATTATATGTGCTCATCCATCAGCCTCCACAATTACTCACATAGTTAGCATCTTAAAGGCCACAGTGTGGGAGATGCTGCCCTGTGAGAGAGAACTTGGAACTTATGCTTTCTGTCCATAGACAACAATCTCTCTCTCTCTCTCTCTCTCTCTCTCTCTCTCTCTCTCTCTCTCTCTCTCTCTCTCTCTCTCCCTCCCTCTCTTTCTCTTTCTCTCTCTCTCTTTCCCCTTCCTTCCTTCCTTCCTTTCTTCCTTTTTCTCCTCTTTTTTTGTGGTACTAGAGATTGAATCCAGAAACTCCCACTGGGCTATACGAATTGTGTGTGTGTGTGTGTGTGTGTGTGTGTGTGTGTGTGTGTGTGTGTGTGTACTTGAGTGTCGAAGGGCTAATGTTAGGTGTCTTCCTCAATTGCTTTCCTCCCACTTTTTTGCTGTGTAGCCTGGTTATCCCATAACTCACTCTGTAGACCAGACTGGTCTCCAGTTCACAGAGATCCACCGGCCTCTTCCCCAGTACTGAGATTAAAGACCCGCCCAACCACCCAATAGCTCCTCCCCACCCCCCTTTTTTTTTGGCTGTCCTGGAACTGGCTCTGTAGACCAGGCTGGCCTCAAACTCACAGAGATCCGCCTGCCTCTGCCTCCCCCTCCCGAGTGCTGAGATTAAAGGTGTGTGCCACCAACGCCGGCTTCTCCCACCTTATTAGAGACAGGGTCTTTCCCTGAATCTCGAGCTTAGACTGACTAGAGTGCCTCAGGGGTCCTGCCATTGACTCCCTGGCACTGCGGTTTCAGACATGTTCTACTGCACCTGGCTTTGGTTCTTTGGTGCTGGGGATCAACTTAGGTTCTCAGGCTTGCACTGAGGCAAGCATGTTAACGACCGAACTCCCCAGGCCCCTTCATAGTGCAACTTCCTGAATCGGCCAGTCTATAGACAAAATTAAGTGGGCGTACCCAGTCATCCGGCCTAGTGCCGAGGGTCAGAGATGAGCAGACCAAGAACTGTCCCCATTACGTAGCCTGCCCTCTGTGACAGGATGTCCCTCGGCAGGTCATTTCATTTTCAGCCAAGGCTGTAAGGCCTGCTGTCAGATCAGTATTGTCTGCACCTCTCAACAACATATTCTTACAGCAACACTTTCCAGGAAGTAACATGAAAATCACCGCCATTACCTATTCACCGAGCTAACATCAGAGCTGCATGTATGGATGGGGGAGACTCCAAGATGCTTCATGCCAACCTCAGACTGTAGCTAGTAAGTTAACCTGCATTTAAATGTATCTAGAGACCCAGGTTAGGTGGCAATCATTACGTCATGCAATTTGCCTAATTTGAATGATGTCATGCAACTCTGAGAGTAGTCCTATGAAAAAATGTCACTATCAGTCCCATTTTACAAATGCAAAACTGAGGCTGAAACTGGGTAAAACAATTTGCCTGAAGCCTCCTAACAAACAAAGGTTTGGGGAACTACAAGCTGAACCTTGGTCTGCCCCAGGCTTCACCTCCCCACCTCTCAGCGTCACCACAGGGACAATCTGTCAGGATGCACACCAGATGGCTCCCAGGGACACAGCTCAGAAGTGAGATGGAGGAACCTGACATTCTGCTGTCTTTGGACGCATCTGTGCTGTTTTGAATTAAAAACACAACAAAGCCAGCCATGTGCTAATTTTATAACAGCAAAATTAAAAACAACATCACCACCAACGCAAAAGCGCTATTAAAAATAAAATCCCCCTTTTTTCTCCCTTCAGACAACAGCTGTCTATGAAGCCCAAGCTGGTCTCATACTTGTCATCTTGTCTCCATCTCCTGAATGCTGGGGTAACAGGTGTGTGCCACCATACTCTGTGAGTGACAGCCCTTTGGGAACATCCCAACTGTGTAGTTCCCCTGCCCTTTCCTCCCAGGCTTGGAATAGGTGGCAGAGGAAAAAGGTAGTTTTGTGTTCAAGAACTTTAGGAAATATTGGATCAGACAAAATGAATCAGTCTTCTTCGGGGAAGATCTGCAGGGGATTAGCAAACCATCGTCCACTGTGAAACTCCCGTGGGACAGTTTGTCACTGAGGCCATGTAGGTTGACTCTAACACCTACCCACATGCATCATGGAACTAGGTTTTGGTTTTGTTTTGTTTTTTCAGGACAAGCACTTACAATGCAACACAACATATTCCAGACCCACACTGAGGTCAGCTGTTAAAGATCACATTTCTAGGGGCTGAAGAGATAACTCAGTGGTTAAGAGCACTGGCTGCTCTTCCAGAGGACCTGAGTTCAATTCCCAGAACCCACATGGTGGCTCACAACTGTCTGTAACTCCAGTTCCAGGGGATCCAACCACTCACATAGATACATATACAGGCAAAACACCAATGCATATAAAATAAAAATAAATTTATTTTAAAATCATATTTCTAGACTCAGGGTACAGTTTAATGTACTTGGCATGCATGAGATCCTTCATGGCTAAGATTAGGGGAGAGGAGAAAGGCTCCTAATTACTAGATGTTATCTTGGGCCAGCCTTTCTCCACCACAACACCATCCTCTGAATTGAACTTGGCTTTGAAGCCATCAGCCCATGGGTGCATGTGGGGTTTGTAGGATCCTACCTCTGACCAAACCTGCACACATACATTTTCCTATGATCGAGGAGAAGAGGAGAAGCTTTGAACAAGGAAGGTACGTGTATGAGTGTGTACCCATTTTTTTTAAAGACAAGGTCTAGCTTTGTAGCCCACGCTGGGCTTTAACACTCCCACATTCCTGCCTCAGCATTCTGAATGCTCGGATTATAGACAACGCAAAACGGCGCCTGCTGAGAAGCCCTGTGACAGACCCCTCCTCTCAGAACAGAATCTAGCCTTCCTGAGTTTTCACACCGGACTATATACAGGAAACAAAACTCATTTGCAAAGCCATACCACAAGCATGAGAGATTGGGCGGTTCACTGTCTTGTAAGCCCTGGGTAGGTGTAATTCTGGGTGTGAACAAACACTCTCTGCAGGGAGAGGAAGTGCCTAGCTTCCCTTAAGCACCTACTGTGTGTCAGTATTACCCAGGGCACTTTGTCATCAATATCCCTTTGATTTTGTCAGGCACTCTGGAAGCAAGGGCTTAGCTACTGTGTCTTTATAAATAAACTGAAACTTGGAGTGTATAAACCAGACATTCAAGCAAATGGCCAACCCAGAATTGTTCCTGGGCCTTGCTCTCTGACCCTGAAACATATGTGGGTTTTTGTTTTGTTTTGTTTTTTACACTATATCGCACCCCTGGGCTCTTGTAGCTTTGACTTTATTCTGAGGTTTCTGTCTCCATGTTCCCAGAAAGCAGCACCACGGGATACGGACCTTGGCTTTAGCTTCTGTCCTTCCTAGAACTGCCTTGTTCAGGAAGCTTCCAGATCCCCTTGAAGGAAGCTCCCCCAGCCCCCCATCTAAAGTCTTAACCATTTCGCTGCCCTTGTCCTCTGGGCTCTTTTGAGAAGAGCCCCTGTTCTGAGCTCCAAGGACTAGGGACTCTGTGGGTTCCTCTGTCAGTCAGCACAGGGCTGGCCAAGGGGACTGCTGTTGTTGCTGTCCAAGGACAGTTGAGACACAGGAAGAGCCTTTGTGTTTCCTGCCTCTGTAGGAAGCAAGAAGCCTTGGAGAAGGCTAGCATATGCTGACAAGATGGGAAATGTGTTACACGAACAAATCCAGCAAGGAAACCTGGAAAGTCAACTGAAGTGGAGACTGTCCCCCAAAGTTTAGAGTTAGAATGCAGCCGATGGGAGGCATCTGGAGACAAATCTCAGAACAAGAATTGTGAAGGCCAACGTGTATACACAAATACAGCTGAGTTGAGGCAGGAGGGGACAAGGGCAAAGGCGAGGACATCCTGTCCTGACACTTGGCAGGACAGGAACGGTGACTTTCCAGATGGAGGTTCAGAAGTTCTTGTCCTGAGCCAGCCGTACCCTGTCTGGGTTAAAAATATCCTTCCTCTTCCCTACTCCCATCATTCTCATTCACTACAACTTTCCCAGGGACGACACATCCATCCTGGATAAGCCTCCCTCACGTAGCCATCGGCTTCCCTGGAGACGAGCCTGTCTTTCAGGGTGCTGGTTACTAAGGCTGAGTCAATTCTCATGTGTCCATCTGGATGCTGTGTATGACTTCTTCGTGAGTTTTTGCAACTCAGGTCTGCCCCGGGAATCAGAAGATTGACTCCTGGGGCCTGCACTCAAGACTGTCCGTCTCATCACCCTGTCTATCACAGGGGTAGGAGGAGCCCAGTCCAAGCCTTCACTCTCTCACAAGGCCCTGCTCTACCGCTGTCCATCTTGAGGAAGTATGTGTTAAGTGATGCATGACCACCTTCAGACCTCAGAAACCTTATCCTATGAGGACAAGGAACAGGTCAGGTGACTGCCGGTGGCCTCCTCGGTACTTGACATTGTGACCCTAGATCTCCAAGGAGTATGCTTCCGGTGAGGTGGGAATGATGGCCAACAGCACAGCAGAGGTGAGATCCACCCACCTGACCCCCCTCCAGCACGGCGTTTCAGAAAGTCTGCAGTACAGCTAGACATCCTGACCCTCCACCCAGATGCAGTCCTCTGCTGTCTGGCTCCCACCGTGCCCCTGACTGTAGTTCCCAGTACCCCTTACCTGCCCAGCCTGGGAGCCTTCTGGCCCATTCACATGATGCTCCTGGCCTGGCTCGGCTGCCTGGACCCGGTCTCAGCTCCCCTTGCCTTCGTAGTCACCACCTGTCTCCTCGCGCCCACGTTCCACCCTGACTTCCTGCCTCCTTCTGAGGGCTCCCCAGCCAACCCAGTCCCAGCAACCCAACCACAAGCCTCTAGCACCTCAAACTTCCTGCCGCCATAGCCCTAGACCCTTCAGCGTCTTGGGGTCCCAAACATCTCTAGGCCAGCCCCTACTCATCCTGAGGGTGGCACTTAGAGGGGAAAGTTGAGGGGGGGATCCCTGTGTGATGGCAAGGGTCTTATATCCCAGCACTCTGGAGGTGGGGGCAGCATTGGCTACACACAGAGTTTCAGGCCAGCCTGAATCACATGAGTCCCTGTCTCTAAACGACAACAAAATAATAATAATAATAAACCAAGGAGAAAAATTTTTTTAATTTTTTAATTCATTTTACATATCAACCACAGTTTTCCCTCCCTTCCCTCCTCCTACTCCCCCTAACAATTCCCCCAACCCACCCCCATCCACTCCTCAGAAAGGGTAAGGTCTCCCATGGTGCACATTAAGTTGAGACAGGACCAAACCTCTCCCCTCTGCATCAAGGTTGAGCAAGGCATCCCACCATAGAGAATGGGCTCCAAAAAGCCAGCTTATGCACCAGGGATAGACCCTGGTCCCACTGTCAGGGACCTATCAAACAGACCAAGCTGCACAGCTGTCGCCCACATGCAGATGGCCTAGTTAGGTACCATGCAGGCTCCCCAGCTGTCAGTGTAGAGTCTGTGAGCTCCCATGACCTCAGGTCAGCTGTCCAGGATTTTTTTTTTTTTAATTTAGGATCTCACTGTGTAACCCTGACTGGCCTGGAACTTGCTATGTAGACCAGACTAGTGTGACCTTGAATTCACAAAGATGCTGCCTACCTCTGCCTCCCCAGTGCAAAGGAATGTGCCATTATACCTGGTAAGAAAGGATGGTTGATGGAGTCGCTCTCCTGCCCTCCCAGATACACCTGGGTAAGAGATCCAAAGGGAGCCTTTGCCCCCATGAACAGAGCCCAGGAGCTACAAGTTCAGCAGGCAGCAAAGTGATATGGCACTGTGGTCACTCTGTGCTAGGACTAACTAGGTGGCCTTTAATTTAGTCTGCCAGCAGAAGGCATGTTCAGAGTTGAAGCCTAGACAACAGCTCTGTTAAGTGGTTGGTGACAAGGTTGCAAGTATTACAGTAAACAGCAACCACAGTCGCTGAGAGCATCGACCATGTCATCTTGGGGCACAGGACAACACTCAAGAGGCAGGCCTCTTACAATCAAGTGTTGACAGCCTCTTTTAGGAGGAATACAGGAAACCCCATGTCCTTAAGACTATAGTGACAGGCCAGGGTGTGGTGGCGCACAGGGAGTTCCTGGACAGCCAGGGCTTCATAAAGAAACCCTGTGTCAGTATCTAGATAGATAGATAGATGATTAATTGAAGAATATAGCAGCAGGCAGAGGGCAGGACCACATGGCCTGAATTGATAATTCCAGTAGAGACAAGGCCACACCCCTAATGGACCGCACAGCCTGCCACAGGTAGAAGACAGAGCAAGCTTATTGTCCTTGCAGCTGGGGCAGCCTGCAGACATTCTGGTGTCAGCAGGAGGTAAAGAGCTTTGAAACCAAGCAGCAGGCAGGTCAAAAATGAGGATGGTACCCATCATAGGCAGAAGACCAGGTCGCCAGTGATGTGAGGAACCCCGAATGGCCCCCTATCAGGCCCAAGAATGGGTCCTGACCTCACTGGAAGGAAAGTGTAAATGTGTCACCTCCTGAGCTACGCTGAGTGAGCTGGTGGGGGAGGGGAGCCCACAGAGCATTGTTGGGGTTTGTGAGGTGGAAGCTGAAGTGCTGTGTACCTCGGCTGCAGAGGGAAGGGGGAACAGGAAATGGCGGTGGGGGGGCGGAGGGGGGCGGGGGTGGTGGCTGAGTTGGAAAGTCAGACAAAGAGAGTAACACGGCAACAAAGGCTGAGAGACATGCAGAAAACAAAACCCTCCCGGGTGACAGGGTGACAGAGCCGACAGATGTGTCCCCGGACCTGGTGGTGCAGGGCTCAGCTCCCCGCTCTTAGGAGCCATAGCGTTTCACAGTTCAGCTTCAGCTCATGCCTGGGGGACGGTACTGAGAGCCAAGGGCGCTCTAAAGTAAGGCATATCTAGCAGCCAGTGGGGTAAGAATTAGCAGCTTGCTTCTATTTAGTTTTGTGGTTTTGTTTGTTTGTTTGTTGTTTTGTTTTTTGAGACAGAGTTTCTCTATGAAACTCTAGCTGTCCTGGAACTCGCTCTGTAGACCAGGCTGGCCTCAAACTCGTAGAGATCTGCTTGTCTCTGCCTGCTGAGTGCTGGGATTAAAGGCGTGCACCTTCATGCTGGCTTGATCTCCCCATCCTCTAATAGAAACAGGGGAGTTGGTTTTGGACAGAGAACTATCAGATTCTGCATCCTCCTAGCCCTTAGTTTACCTACATTGCCTACCATGAAAGAGATGTAAGTTTTTAAGTTTAGAGGCCGGAGATATAGGTGGCTCAGTAGTCAGGGGCACTTGCTCTTGCAGAGGACCTGAGTTCCTTGCTAGCACCTTATCAGGAAGCTCACAACAGCCTATATAACTCCAGCTAATCCAATAACCTCTTCTCCGGGCACGCACATACACAAAACTAAAAAATACAACAAATCTTTATTTAACCCCCTTCTGATTTGATAAGGTGGAGAAATCGAACTGAAGCTGTTGGGGAGACTGGGTGCCATCCACCCTCAGCGGTCTTGTCTCCTGTTGTGGAGTCCCCAGTCCCAGTGACACGGGGTAGACACCCAGCAACCACCCTCAGCCTCAGTGAGGGACTGCAGAAACTTGGGTGGGATGCAGCGGCGTTTTTATTAACATGTTTGGGACCTGAGCTCCCTCTTTTCCCCTTACTTCTGAGGGCTTTGTGCTCTTTGAATTCAACTTTCAGAAACCTGCGTGTCCCCTCCCCCAGCAGGAGCCGGAGCCTCGGGGCACCGCCTCCTTCCTTCTTCCCAGATAGACCAGGAGACAACCGAGTGCCCTCAGCAGAGGGTGAAGCGCCTGGCACTTATGTTCATGCGCGTGAGTCCCAGATGCCGCAGTGGCGGGGCCAGAGCCAGGCCAGTCCCGGACTCCAGCTCCAGCTCCAGCTCCGCCTCATCCAGCAGCTCCTGGTGCAGGTGACACACTTGGTCCACTTTCAGGCGGTGCAGCTGGGCCCGTAGCCTCAGCAGTTGCCCTGCCAGCTGCCGGTCCTGAGCACGCATCTCCTGCTGTGACCAATAGGGGGCATGAGAGTGCAAAACCAGCCTCACCAGCCATTGTTCCCTTTCTGTGAACACTCTTTGCATAGAACAGCTCACAGAGCCCCATCTCACCCAACTTGTTCCGGATTGGTGGTTCCCAAACCAAGCCAAGGACCCATTCATAAGCAAATACAGACATCTGGTACACCATCACAAATCAACTAAGATGACTCACTGGGCTGAACTGGACATCCTTATATATTTGCACAGCTAATAGTTAACTCTCTCCTCCTAAGAGTCTACCCCACAGCAAAGCCAGGTCTGCTTTTTCCTTGGCTCTCTCTTCTCTATGGCAGTGGTTCTTAATTTTGCTAATGCTGCAACCCTTTAATACAGTTCCTCATGTTGTGGTGCCCCCCAAGCATGAATGTATTTTCATTGTTATGTCAGAACTGTACTTTTGTTAGTGTTATGAATCATAATGTATACATCTGATATGCCAGATATCTGATATGCGACCCCCACCCCACCGGGGTCTCGACCCACAGGTTGAGAACTGTTGCTCTAGGGTCTATTAGTGCAGAGTTGGCTTCACAAATAAAACACACCTGGATTCCTGGCTCCTCCTCCGTCCTAGAGCACAGCACTGAGGAATTGCTTTGGAAAGTGGCCTACTCTCACCTCCTCCCGGCCCCACAGAGGCCTGGCTCAAACACCCTGTGCGAGTCTGTCCAGCCCAGTGAACTCACCAGCTCCCTTCTGAGCCATTCAAGCGCAGAATCCATGGAGTCAAAGCCACAGATGGCTCCAGATCCCCCCGGCTGAGGTCTGCCTTGGACTCTGCACCAGGCGGGGTTCTGGACCCTGGCGGTCCACTCCAAATATGAGGGTCGTCGGGTCTGCAGCTGAAGCTTGGCTGTCAGCGCCTTCACAGAGTCCAAGCTTTCCTCTTCCTCCTCCTCCTCCTCGCCCACCGCCTGGAACTTCAGTGGCTTTAGGGCCATGGTGGGTCTGTGGTGGTCAATGGGGCAGTGAGGGAAATGTCTCAGGAGAGGTGGAAGAGGCTGAGGGTGAAGAGTGTGCCAGGAGCGTGTGGCGGCAAATGAAGATGGTGGGTAAAGGAGATTAGGTGTGCCAGGGTGAGTGAGCAGATGGGTGTGTGAGGCTAAGTGTGCAAGGGATGGAATTTTCCTGGCCCGCTGATGGGGGCCACGTGATGCCCATCCGGCTGGGGGCAGGAGGAGCCCTTCGGATGAATTTTATTGTCTTTGCCCAGAATCAGGTTCCTGGTTCCCAGAAAGGAAGTTGCAGCAGGATAAGAAAAGCATCATCCGACTTGGCCCTCCTCCCAAGACCCAAGTCAGGGGAGTCAAGAGGGCCAGGAGGCTGACTGTCTCCCTGCTCTTTGTGGCGCTAGCTCTTCTGCAGGAAATGGGGTCCCTGTAGCCTGGGAGTCTGGGGCCCTCAACACTGGTGCTGCTGTGATGGGACTTGGGATAGCTCTCCACTACTCTGAGCCTCTGTTGGGACAGGACCCTGATTTCAAGCTTTACTCTAAGGAGCCTTAGGTTCTGTTGGCAATCACTGGAAACCCTCCCCTTCTGGCAGCTGACGGAGCCGCCCAAAGCTGAAGGGCGGCACTGTAGATGGACTTCTAGCCAGCTGCCTCCCTGTCATTCACAGGGTTTCAACAACCAACCTCCCTCCCTCTCTCCGTCCCTCCCTCCCTCCCTCCTTCCCTCCCTCATTCTGTCCCTCCTTCTCTCTCTCATCTCAAATATAGCCAAGTCTAGCCTAGAGCTCACTATATATAGACCAGGCTGGCCTTCAAATCACAGAACTTTGTCTGCCTCTGCCTCCCAAGTGCTGGCACCAAGGCATGGGTCACCACTGCCTGGCTGTGACAAGTGCTTCTCAGCTCTCTTTAAACTTGTCATCAGTAAGAGCAGGCATGGGGTTTCCATCAGTAACCCTTCCTAGCATGCTCAAGGCTCTGGGTTTGCACCAGCTATAAGAGAGAGGAGAGAAGGAGAGAGATAGAGACAGAGTCAGAGAGAGAGAGAGAGGACAGAGGGAGACAGAAGGGAGAGAGAGGAGGGAGACAGAGAGGAGGGGAGGGAGGAGGAAAAAAAAGGAAAAGAAAAAGGGGTCAGAGTGACAGCATAAGTGGGTTTTGCCAGTAGGTGTATTCTCCAGTGTTCCTGTATGTACTTACAGGAGGACAAAACCAACCAAAGACCTAAAAGGAAACACGTGTGGTGACACATGCCCATGCCTGTAATCCCAGCACTTGGGAGGTAAGGACAAAAATTCATTCTCAGCTACATGGTAAATTTGAAGTCAGCCTGGACTACATGAGACAGTTACTCAAAAACAAAATAAAGCAAGAAGAAGAAGAGGAAGAGGAGAAGGGGGGAGAGATAAAAAAAATGCACATGTCTAAATATGTAATTTGGAACCAGGTGGTGGTTACACCTTTAATCCCAGCACCCTGGAGGCACAGGCAGGCAAGATCTCTATGAGGTCAAGGCCAGCCTGGTCTACAGAGTGAGTTGCAGGACAGCCAGGGCTACACAGAGAAACCCTGTCTTGAAAAAAATTAAAATAAATAAACATGTAATTTGCTAAATTCTCCCAAATAAACACTGAAGCAACATCTAGGTCAAATAATACTTCTCACTACTGGGGAACTTCCTGCCTTGACATTTCTTTCTTTTTTTTTTTTTTTTTGGTTTTTTTCGAGACAGGGTTCTCTGTGGCTTTGGAGGCTGTCCTGGAACTCGCTTGGTAGTCCAGGCTGGTCTCGAACTCACAGAGATCCACCTGCCTCTGCTTCCCAAGTGCTGGGATTAAAGGCATGCACCATGTGCCTTGACATTTCTTTTTTTTTTTCCCGTTTTTTTTTTTTTCGTTTTTCGAGACAGGGTTTCTCTGTGGCTTTGGAGGCTGTCCTGGAACTAGCTCTTGTAGACTAGGCTGGTCTCGAACACAGAGATCCTCCTGCCTCTGCCTCCCAAGTGCTGGGATTAAAGGCGTGCGCCACCAACGCCCGGCGCAATTATTTCTTTTTTAAAGCAGGATCTCACCCTAAACTGACCTGGAATTATTCTGTAGCACACACTGACTTCATATTCACAGGGATCTTCCTGCCTCTGCCTCTGACTACTGGGGTTACATCCATAAACTTTCATGCCTGGCACTGCTTCTGTGTCTTCCCCTACTCACCCAATTGCTGGTGAAACCCAGAGGCTTGAGCAAGCTAGGAAAGGGTTTACTGATCAGCACCTCAGCCCTGCTCTCATTTCTGACAACTTAAGTGGATTTTCTCATTTTGTATACTTTCCAGTGCTCTTCCAACACTGCTGCATGTCAGAATCACCTGGGGGAAAAAATCATGTGCTACAACAGATGGTTTCCCCTTCACCAGTTTCAGATTCAGTGTGAGAATATGGGACAGAGACTAATCCGCATGTCTATGAAAACCCCAGCCTTGAAGCTTTTGCTGGGCTGGAATTTCATAGCCTGTCTTCTTCTGGGTTTTGGTTTCCACAGGGTCTCATGTGCAGCCAAGGCTGGCCTCATGCTCTGTAAGCCTCCTAAGTGTGTGAGCACCAAAAGCAGCTGTACTCTGCTGTTCTGCTTGGCTGCTTTCAGAGGGAAGCTCTAGCTTGATGTTATGTTAGGTGAGCAGCTAAGCCTTCTCCCCAACCCTCGCTTGTTCTCTCCCTCCTCTATTTTCTCCTCTTCTTTCTTTCTCAATCCCCTTCCTGCTGTCACATCCTATACACATGTATGACTTTAAATCTAGATCCCACATATGAGAGAAAACATACAACATTTGTCTCAGTATGGCTCCTTTAACTTAGCAGAATGATCTCCAGTTCCATCAATTTTCCTGAAGATGTTGCAATTTCATTCTCTTTAAAACTAGATAAAATCCTATTGTGTAACTAGATAAAATCCAATTGTGTATATTTACCATGCTTTCTCCATCTGCTTGCCTGGTGATGAACCTCAAGGATGGTTCTATACCTTGACTAATGCAATAAAAACACTGCAACAATAAACATTATTGTATAAAGTGAGGACATGACTGCTCCACGGTGTGGTTTTTATTGTGGATATGAGGGAGAGGACAACCAGAAACATCTGGAAGAGTCCAGAACAGGGAAAGTAGTGAACTGAACATGGCCAGCAGAATGAACTGGGCCATGATGGGGGAGGAGAGGAGAGGAGAGAGAGGCAGGGAGAGAGAGAGAGAGAGAGAGAGAGAGAGAGAGAGAGAGAGAGAGAGAGAGAGAGAGAGAGAGAGAGACAAAAGAGGACCAAGAGAGCAAGCACATGGCTGAAATGGCAGTGTTGTGTAGGAATGAGAAGCTGGGGAAAAGGAAACCATGAGCCATAAAGGAGAAGTTGAAGGTAGGGGCGGGGTGAGAAGAGCTGAGAAGAGCCAGGATGCCAGCAAAGACTCTGTAACAGGTAATTTCTATTCGAGAACCAACCGGGAGGCCAGCATGCATTTTGGTATGCTAATAGGTACCACGGTTAGCCATTTCTTTTGAACCTAACAATTATGTGGGGAGGGGAGTTGAGGGGTGGGGCTGGATGTTCAGGTGTCTCCCTCATCTGTTGATTTATAACCCCAGGTTAGCACAGCTGGGTCACAACAGTGGTTCTGTTTTTAGGAATTTTTGGGGGAGTATAATTTTTTATCTTATGTGGATGTGGGTGTTTTGCCTGCATGTGTGCATATGCACTGTGGGGACCCCTGGTACACAGAGGCCAGAAGAGGACGTTAGATCTCCTGCACTGGAGTTGCATATAGATAGACGGTGGGAGCTGCCATATGGGCTTTCAGAATCGAACCCAGTTTTAAGCTCAGCACTTGGGAGGCAGAGGCAGGCAGATCTCTGAGTTCCAGGTTAGCCTGGTCTGCATAGAGAATTCCAGGATAGCCAGAGCTACATAGTGAGACCCTGTCTCAAAAAACAAACAAACAGGCAAACAACAACAAGAATCAAACCAAAGTCCTCTGGAAGAGCAGAAAACAGTCTTAACGGCTGAGTTACCTCTCCAGCACCCATCTTAGTTTTGTAAGGAGCCTCCATGGTGGCTGCACCAGCTTATATTACCACCTGCACTCACCAGCATTCTCTCTCCCTCTCTTTTTCCTTTTTAAAGAGGTTTTTTGTTTTTGTTTTTTCAAAACAGAATTTCTCTGTGTAGCCCTGGCTGTTCTGGAACTCACCCTATAGACCAGATCTGCCTGCCTGTGCCTTCCAAGTGTTACGATTGAAGGTCTGCACCACCACCTGCCCAGCCTAGATCAATGTACTTTTTTTTTTTGGATTTTTGAGACAGGGTTTCTCTGTGGCTTTGGAAGCTCTCCTGGAATTAGCTCTTGTAGACCAGGCTGGTCTCGAACTCGCAGAGATCCGACTGCCTCTGCCTCCTGAGTGCTGGGATTAAAGGCATGCCGGGCATATCAATGTACTTTTAATTTGCATTTCCCTAATGGTCAAATATGTTGAACACCTTATTTATGGGCCACTTGTATTTCTTCCTCTGAGAACTGTATAATCGATTCATTAGCACATTTATTCATTGGATGATTTTGTGTGTTCTATTATTATCCTTGTTTATCTGGACATAGCATCACAAATATATCAGTAAGAGCTTTAAAGATACTAAAAAGGAACTAGAGAGATGGATGGTTCCTTCAGTTAAGAGCATTTGTCACTGGCACAGGACCCAGGTTTGATTCATAGCACCTACCTGGTGGCTCACAACCTCACAACTACAATTCCAGGGGATCCAATACACCTTTGTGATCACCAGGTGCGCGCGCGCACACACACACACACACACACACACACACACACACACACACACACACACACACACACGGGTTGCTCAGACACACATTCCGGTAAAACATTCATAAACATAAATCTAAAAAATATTAAAAGTAGGTGCATGGATGAATGGTTGAATGAATTCTCTAGCAAACTAGCTGAGTTTCCTATTGTAGTTACCAACTGAAGCATGTCTCTTGCTAGACTAAAACTCTGTGAGCAGAGGGTCCTCTAGGGTCCCTATATCAAAAAACATGGCTCGGTTCATTGTTTGGGCAATTCACACTTATTGAAAAGGATGCTAGAGTTGCTCAGGACCCGACAAAGTCAGAATCGGTTTGTGAAGGTGGCCCACTGGCAGGACTTCCACATGGGGGAGGGGCGCCAGCTACAAAGCTGTTCGCTTTTAAGGTGGACCAA